GCCCAGGGAGGTGGTGGAGTCTCCTTCTCTGGAGACATTCAAACCCACCTGGACACGTTCCTGTGGGACCTGCTCTGGGTGACCCTGGCTCTGGCAGGGGGTTGGAGGAGATGATCTCCAGAGGTCCCTTCCAACCCCATGTGATTCTGTGATTCAAGAATCCCAGTGCAGGGAAACTAAATGGGCGACCCTCCCTGCTGTTTTTTTTTTAAATCTGTTAATTAACCAGGGGAGTAATTGGGCCATCCCGACAGCTGAGAGCATGGCAAGTGCTCCCACCAGGGGCAGGTTTGTAATGGGATGGTGAACACAGATTTTGGTGTTACCCTTTCCAGCCAGCGGGGTTGATGCTGTCGGGGGTTGCTGTGACCCCCAGGGCAGGGTGGTGGCTGGGATGGACCGTGGAGCAGGAGCTAGATGGCAACCAAATGATATGGTACTAGAACATCCTGACTGTTGCCTCCATGGGTTTTTTTTCTCCAAAAAGCAAAGGGTCACCTCTGATGCTGGGTGTGAAGGACTGTGGTGTTTAGGTGAGGTTTGGAGTGGAGGAGAGGATGGCTCAAACTCTGCCAATTTATTATTTACCAATACAATTGGAGTGGAGGAGAGGATGGCTCAAACTCTACCAATTTCTTATTTACCAATACAAGCAGTAGCATGTTTGCAAAGGGTCAGCGCTGATGCTGGGTGTGAAGGACTGTGGTGTTTAGGTGAGGTTTGGAGTGGAGGAGAGGATGGCTCAAACTCTGCCAATTTATTATTTACCAATACAATCCTTAAACTGGCTTTTATAATTTTCTGGGTTGTTCGCTGATGCTGGGTGTGAAGGACTGTGGTGTTTAGGTGAGGTTTGGAGTGGAGGAGAGGATGGCTCAAACTCTGCCAATTTATTATTTACCAATACAATCCTTAAACTGGCTTTTATAATTTTCTGGGTTGTTTTTTTTTTCCCCCCTCCTGGTGTGTGTTTAATGCTGTCACCTTTTGAGTAGGAGGGTTTCATGCACTTCTTAAAAACACAGATACACAGTCTGTGAGAAACAGGCTCTGCTTTCATCCTGATGGGTGTGTACGTTTAAGATGACACTTGGAAGAAGGTGCAGTCTAAGCAAGTAAAGGAAATAAACTCAGACATTTGGTTAATTTATGGGTTCTTATTTAACAAAGGACACAGTGGATGCTCTGTTACTCAGAATCACAGAATGGTTTGGGTTGGAAGGGACCTTTAAAGCCCATTTAGTTCTAAGCCCCTGCCCTGGGCAGGAAAACCTCCCACCAGACCAGGTTGTTTAAAGCCCCCTCCAACCTGGCCTTGGACACCCTCAGGGATGGGACCCACATTTCATTGTAATAAATATTAAAGTGCTTCTCACCTGGGCTTCCTCTCAGTGTACTGCCAATAGCCAGGCTCTGCAGCTGAGCCTCCTAAGGGCTTTCTGTGGACAGCAAGGTCTGGTTTCCAGCAGGGATACCAAAATGGCAACAAACTGCATCTAGAACGAAATACAAAACCAAGATTGAGTCCAGGTCTCCACCAAGTAAAGCCAGAGCCTGTTGGATCCCACAGCTTTTATATTAAATCAGTCTTGTCTCTGCGTTACCAGAGACCATTTGGTACCTGTTAGGCTTCTGGCTTTCAGAAGAGATACTGTACATTTTCACTTATTAACACGACATATCGCGTACAGACACACACGCACAAGTGAAGTCAAGCTGTAGCTTATCAAGCACAAATCTCAGCTTGATGTTTTCCAAATGGATTCTTTTTTTTTTTTTAAATTTTTTTTTTAATTTAACTTTCTACATATAGTATCGGTGGCACGGTGGAAACGAAACATTTCCCTCGTCAAATGGGATTGGAATTTGCATCAGTCGGGCCGTGGTTACCTCTGCCACATCCATGTGGTGCTGCTCGTGCCATGTGCCATCCTCTGGTGGGGAGCCCATGGGTCCCTCTGACACCCAGAGCTGGGAGCTGGGATGGGGACACGTGTCCTGTGCCATCCCGTGCCAGCACCTCCCGCTGCGCTCGCGGGACCGGCCCCAAACGAGCTGCTTGTGAGCTCACACCATTCCAACCCCATCTCCACCCTGGGATAAATTTAAAGCATATTCATCATTTTCCAGCAGGAATGAAAATGCAGCTCCTGTCTGCAGCATTTTTCTGTATCAGTTAAAAAACAAACAAAAAAAAAAACCACCAAAAAGGAAGCTCAAGATACTCTGTATCAGTTAAAAAACAAACAAAAAAAATCCCACCAAAAAGGAAGCTCAAGATAACTAATATTTCAAAATACAAGTTATTTTCTTTAGGCATATCTGATGTAACATCAAATCCCAGCCCCTTTAGCAGCTCTGGTGCAATGGATCAGTTCCCTGGTTGGTCTGCAGAGGATTTCAGGGTGATGTGGGTGGTGGGCATCAGTTCAGTGGTCCCCGGGGATGGTCCCAGGGCAGTGCTGGGGTCGAGGAGCTGCTCTGCTGCTGGGCTGGGAGGGAGCAGGGACCAGTGACACAAAGCACCCAGCTCCACACAGCACCTTGGGCTCTTCAAAACCTGTGTGTTTATATTTACAGTAAGATCTTCATGGAATCACAGAATGGTTAGAGTTGGAAGGAACCTTAAAGATCATGGAGTTGCACGCCCTGCCCTGGGCAGGGACACCTCCCACCAGCCCAGGTTGCTCCAAGCCCCCTCCAACCTGCCCTTGAACCCCTCCAGGGATGGGGCAGCCACAGCTTCTCTGGCCAACCTGGGCCAGGCTCTCCCCACCCTCACACCAAAGTTCTTCCCCACATCTCAGCTCCATCTCCCTTCTCTCAGTTTGATCTTGCTGTAGCACAGCCGTAACCTCTTCCCGTGTAGATGAAACATCCCCCTGTTGTCATTTGATGAACTATTTTCAGTGAGTTTGGTACGAAGCCTCAGTAGCCTTATCTGTCCCCCCGAGGGCTTCAGGCTGGAGCAGGAGGGTTTCAAGGGGATTAAAACACCCCACGGAGGGTGAGTGGGCGAAGGAACAACACCCTGAGTGATGGTTGGGCTTTTTGAGTGTCTGAGGGCTTTTAAAACTTGAAAGAAACCAAAAGGCTCCAGTGGAAGCAGTTAATCCAAGTGATGGGGGTGTGATCACACCAAGAGGTAACACTGGGCAAACCAACAGGTATTTTTTACTTAAATCCTCTGCAGCCCTGCTCGGGGAACTCCTCCTCTGCAGCTTCATGGAATTTCTTGTAAAATGTGCTATCAAGACACCTAGATGTTGTATGGTTGCTTTCGTTTGCAGTGTGTGATCTCAAAACAAATGGAGTTGAACTTCTGTGATCCACAGCTCGGATTTTCCAGAGCTTTCCACATGGGTTTATACACGTGTTGTGTATGTGATCTCAAAACAAATGGAGTTGAACTTCATTGATCCACAGCTCAGCTTTTCTAGAACTTTCCACATGGGTTTAGACACGTGTTGTGTGTGAACACAGTAGGTGTTTGGCAGGTGGAAGGTGTGTTCAGAGCTGCAGTACCAGGTCTGGAATTATGTCCCATGGATGTAGCTCCATCTACGTCCCTGAGCCATGATTTGAAGGAAAGATGTTCTAAAATTCAAGTTTTGCAGCTAAAACCCACAGTGTGACTAACCTCCCCCGGAGTGGGACTCACCTGCTGTCTTTCTGGCCACCTTCTGAACGTTTTTAATTAAGAAACCATTTCGGCAATGAAGTGGGAAGATCCAGCAACTGTCTCTGCCAACACAAAGTACTTCCATCACTTCTTTTTTTCCCCCGGATTTCTACGTGTCATCTCCCAATTACAGATCTCATGGGCAGAACACACCATCTGAGTTGATCTTTCTAATGGTGTCTTTGCACCGGAGCCGTGCATAGTCGTTACTCTTTTTAGGTGTGCCTTCCCCAGATAGCTCCTGCCAAATGGAAAGAACGGCAAATACCCTCTCCCTCCACCCCCAAATGTTCCTGAAAAAAAGTTTCAAGGCTGGTTTGGGTTTAGTTGTACACTTTATCTAACACACAGAAAACCAGGAGAAGTCACACGGTCAATAGCCATGTTTTTAGATGCCAGCCTTGCACCAACATCCGCGATTTATCCGGGGGTATTTCTTGCACTCCTTGTTAACGTTGCCTACAACACCATTTTTCCATGGGAAAAGAGAAAATGCTTTAATTGCCATGCAGGAAAATCCTATCAGCAATCTGGTGTTGTTTTTATACTTTAGAAGAGTTGAAGTAACTTTGCTTGGGTTGATTTAACACTTCTAAGCACTAAGGTTTTTTGCATCCTTAGTGTACATCCTTATTGTGCTTGAACAGGTGAACAGAGGTATATCTATAGATTGAAGAGCAGTACAGCACTGTGCTTCTGGGGTGGGGACAGCTGCCATTCTGCCTCTGGCATGGCCTTTAATTATGGTGAACTTCAGCAAAAAAATTTCATTTCTCCAGCTTCCCTTTCCCCAGCTGTAAACGACTTCCTCCCGTAAAATCCTCTGAACTCCTTGGGTGGAAAACGCTATGAATGAGCCAGATGCTTTTAACAACAAACCTGTGGGTAATAAACAAGCTTGTATTTTTTTCACCTTTTGCAATGAAAAGACACTGGAACAGCCTGCCCAGGGTGGTGGTGGAGTCACCATCCCTGGAGGGATTTAAGAAAGGTATAGACATGGCTCTTCAGGGCATGCTCTAGTGCCCAAGGTTATTGGTTTATGGTGAGGTGTTGAGTGTGGGGTTTAGTTGGTGGGTGCGGTGGTTTTGGTGGGTGTTTGGTGTGGTGTGGTTTGTATTTGTTTGGTGGGGTTTTTTTTTTGTTTTTGTTTTTGTTTTTTTTTTGTGGTTGGACTCGATGATCTCAGAGGTCCCTTCCAACCACTAAGATTCTGTGATTCTGTGATTTCTGAGGAAGATTAAACAGCAATTTCCGAACTGTAGTTTTACTGTTAGCATCGATGTTTATGTTCTTTCCCTCTCCTTCTTCTCCGTAGTCCGCTTCGCACCGTACCGCCCTCCCGACATCTCCCTGAAGCCGCTGCTCTTCGAGGTGCCCAGCATCACCACCGAGTCCGTCTTCGTTGGCCGGGACTGGGTTTTCCACGAGATCGACGCGCAGCTGCAGAGCTCCAACGCCAGCGTCAACCGGGGCGTCGTCATCGTCGGGAACATCGGCTTTGGAAAAACAGCCATCATCTCCAGGCTGGTGGCCCTCAGCTGCCACGGGACACGGATGCGACAGATCGCTTCTGACAGCCCCCACGCCTCCCCGAAACGTAAGTACAGCACCACGCGCGTCTTCAACGGTCACCTTTTCCACCAGATTTTATAATGGTTTTGGGTGAAAAGAACCCATTCGTCTTCAGGCCCAAGAAATTAGCTTGGACTTTGTTGCCAAGCAAAGGAAGCACCTGCCTGCAATATTTACAGAATTACAGGATGGTTGGGGTTGGAAGGGACCTCTGGAGATCATCTCCTCCAACCCTCAAATCTCATGAAGTCAGGGCCTTGTAAGCATTTGGAAATGCTTTTTTCTCTCCTTTATCCTTCATTTTTTGTTCTGTAGTTTTTAAATCGCTGTAAGTATCTTTTGTTGCCTTAAATCTGAAGGGTGCCATCGGAGTTGTCTGGTTTTCTTTGTTTCTGGTTTTTCTTTGTGGCTTCTCCTGGCCATTCCATTGTTTCATGTGGTGCAGAGGGTCTCCAGGTCTCCAGCTCCTGACACGGCTGCAGCGCCGTTATCACAGAATCCCATGGGGTTGGAAGGGACCTCTGGAGATCATCTCGTCCAACCCCCTGCCAGAGCAGGTCCACCCAGAGCAGGTCCCACAGGAATGTGTCCAGGTGGGGTTTGAATGTCTCCAGAGAAGGAGACTCCACCACCTCTCTGGGCAGCCTCTTCCAGGGCTCTGCCAACCTCAAGGTGAAGAAGTTCCTCCTCATGTTTAGATGGAACTTCTTATGTCCAAGTTTGTGCCCATTTCCTCTTGTCCTGTCCCTGGGCACCACTGAAAAAAGCCTGGCCCCATCCTCCTGACACCCACCCTTGAAGTATTTATAAGCATCGATAAGAACCTCCCTCAGCCTTCTCTTCTCCAGACTATTTATACTGCTTCTGTTCCAAAGCTACTTTTTGAAGCATCAAAATAGTGTGTCTTATTTCCCTGACTTAGAAACATCATGGATTTTCTCTGGTTGGGAAGACTCCAATTTTAATTGCCAATATTCTATTACTACCGATCCATGCCAATGCGTTCTCCTTCCTTATGTTTTTTAATTTCAGTTTATCATGGTATAAATGTTCAGGGGGGGGTCACAAGCCCGTGTAGACTCAGCACCCAGGATTGCTCTGTCCCTTGTGGTCCCATCCAGCTCACATGGCTCTGTGCTGACATGTTTGCAGGTGGGGATGGCAACATTTAAAAATCACTCAGCTCTTGGTAAGCGAATAAGACAGGACTGAAAATACTGGGTTAGGTACCTGAAGGTATCTCTGAGGATCTAGGTCACTGTATCTCAGTGAAACTGCAGTTAAATCTGTTGACTGGAGTGCAGTGCTCTGTAGCCATGTCGAAATATCTGAAATGTCACTGAATGCTGGCATGTTGAATCGTGTCACTTGTCAGAGCTAAATGAACAATGCGTAGTGAAAGGCAGGGCTTGTTTCTATATTTTAACTGCAGCTCTGCAGTGCACCAACTGTACGTCTCCCCAGTCTGCTCCAAGAGATCAAAGAGACTACTGTAATTAACTGTTTCTGGACTAAAAGCTTGGGTATTTCAAATGAGAGGGTGCCCTGCGTCTTTCATGCACAAAGAATGAAGATCCTTGGTCACACCAAACACACTATTGTTTATTGTCCATGAGGTTGGAAGGTGAGTGTCTCCTCAGTGTTAGTTACTGGGATGGAGACTTTCAGAACCAGTCGACTAATTTGGCTTTATTTCCCAACGAGGTCACAAGTCCTAGTCTAGCTATAGAAGGTAATAGTTACTGTGCAAGTTTCTTTGTCGGCAATGAAGTGGGAAGATCCAGCAACTGTCTCTGCCAACACAAAGTACTTCCATCACTTCTTTTTTTCCCCCGGATTTCTACGTGTCATCTCCCAATTACAGATCTCATGGGCAGAACACACCATCTGAGTTGATCTTTCTAATGGTGTCTTTGCACCGGAGCCGTGCATAGTCGTTACTCTTTTTAGGTGTGCCTTCCCCAGATAGCTCCTGCCAAATGGAAAGAACGGCAAATACCCTCTCCCTCCACCCCCAAATGTTCCTGAAAAAAAGTTTCAAGGCTGGTTTGGGTTTAGTTGTACACTTTATCTAACACACAGAAAACCAGGAGAAGTCACACGGTCAATAGCCATGTTTTTAGATGCCAGCCTTGCACCAACATCCGCGATTTATCCGGGGGTATTTCTTGCACTCCTTGTTAACGTTGCCTACAACACCATTTTTCCATGGGAAAAGAGAAAATGCTTTAATTGCCATGCAGGAAAATCCTATCAGCAATCTGGTGTTGTTTTTATACTTTAGAAGAGTTGAAGTAACTTTGCTTGGGTTGATTTAACACTTCTAACCACTAAGGTTTTTTGCATCCTTAGTGTACATCCTTATTGTGCTTGAACAGGTGAACAGAGGTATATCTATAGATTGAAGAGCAGTACCTGTGGCATCCCCCTGTGGCACAGGGGGATGGGGACAGCTGCCATTCTGCCTCTGGCATGGCCTTTAATTATGGTGAACTTCAGGAAAAAAATTCCATTTCTCCACCTTCCTTTTCCCCAGCTGTAAAGGACTTCCTCCTGTAAAATCCTCTGAACTCCTTGGGTGGAAAACGCTATGAATGAGCCAGATGCTTTTAACAACAAACCTGTGGGTAATAAACAAGCTTGTATTTTTTTCACCTTTTGCAATCTGGACTAAAAGCTTGGGTATTTCAAATGAGAGGGTGCCCTGCGTCTTTCATGCACAAAGAATGAAGATCCTTGGTCACACCAAACACACTATTGTTTATTGTCCATGAGGTTGGAAGGTGAGTGTCTCCTCAGTGTTAGTTACTGGGATGGAGACTTTCAGAACCAGTCGACTAATTTGGCTTTATTTCCCAACGAGGTCACAAGTCCTAGTCTAGCTATAGAAGGTAATAGTTACTGTGCAAGTTTCTTTGGTTTTTTTTTTTTTCACATGCTAAAAAAAAAAAAATGATCCCTTATGCTTAGTATAATCTATGTTTAATAATAAATATGAATTGGGTGACCTGACTATGCAACAGCAGTTATGCTATCAGCATTAGTAACCTGGCATAAAAACAGCCTCGTCCTCTTAATTCCTGTCTCGGAAAATAACACAGGTGGAGGTGGTGTTGCATGCTCAAAATCAGGAGTGTGCATCACTGCTCACACCTTCAGGGTTTAATTGTGTAGGCAGGAGCTGTCCTCCCTTGTTGTTTGCCATTAAATGGGTCATTGTTTGCATTAGGATTTCAAGTCAAGCTCAAGGATGCATCACAGCAACCATTCAGGGAAATCCTCTGCTAGTACTGTCCCCACTTAGGAGGAGCGGTGCTTTTAAAACCTTCCTAAAGTAAAGAAATCAATAATTAGACATCATCAAGTGCTGCGTGTCTTAGTGTCACTCAGCAATACTCTGTAGGAGCGCCTATGAGTGAAAATAAGAGTGGTTTGAAAATGTTATATGCAAAGGCCAGGTGAATGGGCTGTTGCAGGAAGCTACTGGTAAAGCCAATTTCTGCTTTGCCAGGCAAAAGAAACAGCTAAAACGCAACAGAAAGCAGTTAAACTTCACAGAGATGGTTCCAGTGTAATTCATTATTTGCTTGCAAGCCTTTTCCAGATCCTGGTGCTACTCCTGCTTCTCTCCCTCTGATTACATTAATGGGCTTCAGATGGATATGTTAGCTGGGGCTCTCCATTTATTTATGTGATAAAATAGGTACATAATTCAGAAAAATTGGCTGTCTCCACTGAAGGAGGAGTTGGAACCAAATGAACCAGCGATGGTTCATAATGAGGGAAGATCTGGCAGAACTGCAGAGCAGGAGAGACTGCGCTAAAACGCACCAAACTTGAAGACAGAGCAATCCCTTTGAGAGTGCAGTTCACTCAACTGTCGTGATTATTTTAAAGTCAATGAAATTACAGTGGAGAAGATGAATAAGACAAGCTCAACACTTTATCTTAGCGGTCCTTCCCAAAAATTCTGCTTCCAAAAGAAGCTTCTTGGGGAGCCTCTGGCCTGGCTGGACGGTGTCACAGGCTCTTGTTCATAGAATCACAGACTGGTTTGGGTTGGAAGGGACCTTAAAGCCCATCCAGGGCCCCCCCTGCCCTGGGCAGGGACACCTCCCACCACACCACGTTGCTCCAAGCCCCCTCCAACCTGCCCTTGAACCCCTCCAGGGATGGGGCAGCCACAGCTTCTCTGGGCAACCTGGGCCAGGCTCTCACCACCCTCACACCAAACAAGTTCTTCCCCACATCTCAGCTCCATCTCCCCTCTTGCAGTGTCAAACCCTTCCCCCTCCTCCTAGGGCTCCCCTCCCTGATCCAGAGTCCCTCCCCATCTCTCCTGGAGCCCCTTGAGGGACTGGAAGGGGCTCTAATGTCTCCCTGGAGCCTTCTCTTCTCCAGGCTGAACCCCCACAACTCTCTCAGCCTGCCCTTGTAGGAGAGGTGCATCAGTCCTGACAGGATCTTTTTGGCCCAGGATGAACCCCCCCAACTCTCTCAGCCTTCCCTTGTAGGAGAGGTGCATCAGTCCTTACAGGATCTTTGTGGCCTTCTCTGGACCTGTTCCAACAGGTCCATGTCCTTCCTGTGCTGAGGACTCCAGAGCTGGACACATGCTCCAGGTGGGATCTCCAGAGTAGAGTGTAGGGGCAGCCCTGTGCTGAGGACTCCAGATCTGGACACATGCTCCAGGTGGGATCTCCCCAGAGTAGAGTGTAGGGGCAGAATCACCTCCCTGGACCTGGTGGCCACACTTTTTTTGATGCAGCCCAGGCTGTGGTTGGCTTTCTGGGCTGCCAGTGCACACTGTTGGCTCACGTTGAGCTTCTCTTTTTGCCTGAAATCTGAACCAGAGCATTCATGGAAAGTATTTTAACTTCCGTGCATGGCCTGCTGGAAAACACTCCAATAATAAAAAATTGGTTGTGCGTGTCCCATAGTGATTCACACCCTTTTCCTTGGACAGATGTGGATGCAAACCGAGAGCTGCCCTTGGCCCAGCCGCCCTCTGCTCACTCCTCCATCGCCAGCGGGAGCTGCCCGGGGACCCCCGAAATGCGCCGGCGCCAGGAGGAGGCCATGAGGAGACTCGCTTCCCAGGTAGGACACATTCCTCACAGGAATTGTTTGGCCCTTGGGGAAAATGTCAATTTGAATGGGACCTGTTGGTTGGAAGGTCTCCTGCCTTACACCACTTGGTGGGCTGAAAATGCGTGCTTGCTGGGAGAGGTTAGAAGAAAAACTTCTGGAACAAGTTTTATTACTCTTGGAAAGTCATTTCTGTAAAACAAAATTCCCATTCCATCAAACACACTCACCTCCTGCTCTGAGAGTTTATCTTTCCCAGCCATCGTGCTTTGGCCTCACAAATGTTACGGGATGACGTAGTTATGAGAATGATTGTGATTTTTCTTCAGCTGTGAAAACAAAACTACCGAGTGTTTGAGCATTGTTTCCTTGGGAAAAGAGCAGGTATTGTCTGGTGGGGCAGGGTGCAGACTGGGAGCTCTGTGTGTGCATTTAAGGCATTTTTTTGGACAAGTCTACAAAACAGATCCCAGCCTTCGGAGCCACACACAAATTCATCACTGTTACGGCAGGAGTGGGTTGTATGTAACACTATCACTTACTGGAGATGGGATTTACAGCTTGAATTTTATTGTGTTGCTGCGATTTAGCCCTACTTTTGTGCTGGTGGGAAGGTGCCATTGTGTTGCTTTGAAACCCGAGGAGTTTGCTCCTCCCACACCTTTTGGGAGGATGTGAGCAGTTAATGCTTTCCTGTCGCCCGCTCCCCGCTTTGGGGAGGAAAATGTCAAGCAAAGTCTTTGTTCTAAATCACTGCCAGGATGTGTTTTGCTTGGCCTTTTGTGCCAGATACTGCCTTGGCCTGTCTGCTTTTCTGCTGCACCCAGATGGCAAGGCAGGGAGCGGGTGATAATCTGTGTGAATAAATATCAAGACTTGATATTCTCCTCTTCCACGTGGAGTTCTGGAAAGGAATGCAACGGCCAGGTCTGGTTTTGTTCAGGACGCATTAGTCATCGTATTCCTTGCAAATCTTTGCATTACAGGCTGCCAGAAAGTGTAGAGTCTGCTATCTCTGCTTAAAATACCTCATCTATCTCGATTTTCTTCCCCTGAGTGCTTAAGTAATCCTGCTGGAAACGTAATTGATAAATGGATTCGGTTTTAGCTTCGGTTTCCTCCTGGAAAAGGTAAAGGATATGACTCTTTCAAACATTCTGTCATATCCACGGCGTAGATCATGCACCGAAGCTTTTTTACATCTCGGATCACTGGAGAAAAGAGCAAGAAATAACATTTCTAGCCAAAAATAGGTTGTTATACCTTGGCTGCAAACTCCTTTGGGAAGAGGTTTTTAAACTTATTCCTTAGCCAAAATTTTTTTGGGAAGCCGACCCTGTGTTTTGCTGTCAGGATGTAACAAATGAGTTAGAAGATGAAGTACCCCTCGCGCTAGCGGCAGGATTATATCTTTTAGTCCCATTGTTCATCTCCCAGTCAATCTCGACTACTGTAAATGTAGGCAGATTGCAGAAACAGCCCTCGCCGGCTTCCAACCATCAGGCCTTCCCAAGAAGATGGATGCCAAGGGTGATGAGTTGACCTTAGAGCACTTGGAAGCTCTTCTTCTCCCCGAGGAGCTGACACAGCACGTGGAACTTCTGCAGAGCTTCCCAGCGTGGAGCAAAGAGTCCCCAGGATGAGTCAGAGCAGCGGCGCCGCCGCTTGACTCAGCATCCCGAGACCTTGGGGCTGTTCCCAGCTTTGCCATCAGCTTCCTTGGGATCCTCGGAGACCGGCATCTCGTCTCCCTGCCTGTTAAAAGCAAAGCCATCCCTGCAGATAATGGTCCTTTGATATCCGACGCCGGAAGGAATCCCTAACTCCTCTTATTTGCTTTTCTCAGTTTGGAAAAGCAGTTGTCTTCCAGGTGGTGCTGCAGAGTGTGCCTGGATGAAGCCGTGCACTGATATAAAGCACATCAATCCTGATTCAGAGCTCCATTTCCTACCACAAAGGGAAATTTTTCTGGAAGTATAGGAGGTTTTTTTTTTGGTTTGTTTGATTTTTTAAAATTTTTTTTTTAACTCCATGTTCCTGCTGCTGCTTCTTTATCATAAACAGCAATTCTTTTTTATTACATCAGAGCCTTGTCCAGAACTGCTGTGCGGCACGCTCCAAACAGTAAGTTTGATGGATTATCCAGCCTCAAAGAAGGGAAATAAAGGCAAATAAAATGGTTGAGGATGTTTGTCAGATTGATAGCTGGAAGTCGTGTGCCTGGTGCACTCCTAGCAGCCTCCTGAGGAGCAGAGCTCGGCGTCACCGCTGGTGAATACTCGCTGTCAACAGCAGATAAATTGATTTGCTTAGAGAGAGCCGTGCCGTATGATGTCCTCCCAGATAAAACAAACACCAACTATTCCACCCCAGCTGTGGTTTTTGAAGTCTCTGAGTGACACTGGGAGAAAAGGGATTACTGACCTGGCAACAGAATTGAAAAGCCATTAAAATCACAGCCTTGAGCTCTTTGTTGTGTGAGCGATCGCCTCATCCAGAAACTGGATCGCACGCAGCTGACTGGCTTTGGGAGATCATGAGAATTTGCTGGTCGTCAGAGGCTTTGAAGATGCTGAACTCTCAAACAGAGCAAGTGCATCGAATGTCTTGGTAGACAATAGTAAAAATAGTTGGTTAAAATAATTTAGCTGCTTAATCTGAATGTCTGATGCCGCGTTCCCCAACAGGCGTTCTTGGGGATAGTTTGGAAAACCCTTCACACAGATAAGATAAAGGCTCTCCAGAGCCTAATCTAAAGAAGAAAAGAAGGGAAAAAGAAGAGAGTGAAATGTCCTTTTGCAGGAGGAAGGGAGAGAAGAGCAGCGTATTTCTGTATGGATAGCTGCAGAATAAAAAAATAATTGCTGATGTCCTACTTAAAATAGTTCTGTTCAACTGCCTGAAGAAAAAAGAGCCCAGGAGAAGAGCGAAGGAAAGACTGACCCGTAGGTTAGTCTGGTTGGAGAAGTATTTCTTGGACATCTGTGTTTTAGAGTTGTTTTAAGACTAGAGTCGGAATTGAAGTAGGGAAGAAAGTGTTGACAGTGATGGACAACCACAATTGTCGGGAATATTTTAGGAGATGGATGAAACACGTGCGAGGAGCTCAAGAAAGCTGTGGGCAGATGTTCCACCTCTGCTTGCTCTGAGCAGAGCAGGCTGTCCTCGGGTTGGGCTGTGGTCATTGTGCTAGAGAAATGCAGCTCGTTATGAAAGTGGATTAATAATATGCTCACAGGTTTAAGTACTGGTTGGGGCGGGCTCCAGAATGGGAGTGGGAAGCACGCCGTGCCTCTCACCCACTCCCTTCCTTCTCAAAATGTCACTTATCCCCAAACTCAGAAGCTGTGTGTGTTTGATGACAGAAATGAAAGGTGAACAGTTGCTTTTCCTCCTCTGGATTATTCAGGGTTGTACTTTCCTGCCTGTTTTTCACGCAGTAAGTTCTTTGGGGGCAAGGGTTGCTTTTAGCTCTTGTTGTCAGAGATGAACAAAGCATTAATTTTAGAAATAAGTAACCAAAGACTGCTCAGCAGGAGCTCTGCTCGGTCTTGCCGTGCTGGAAAAGAGCATTATTTTCCTTTTTTCTTAGGGAGCAGTCTGAAGTCATCCATGATGTCTAGTTCCTTGTTCATCAGCAAACTAACAGAGAAGAAAAACGCTTAGAAATGAGGCAATTTAGAAAACCAGTATCAGGTGTGGGTTTTTTCCTCAAAAACTGTGCCAGGAAAACTGCATCCAACTGGTTTAGGAGTTATCTGAAGTTATCCTCACAGAGGGTCTTAGAGGGAAGAAAACCATCAAAAAAAAGGGCAAAATTCCCTTTCCTCCCAGACCCCAGTGGGCATCTATGGAGGTTTCTCATGTCCCAGTCCCCACAGAGGGTCTTAGAGGGAAGAAAACCATCCAAAAAAAGGGCAAAATTCCCTTCCTCCCAGACCCCGGTGGGCATCTGTGGAGGTTTCTCATGTCCCAGTCCTGCTCTTTGATCAGAAATGGAGTCTTTTACCGTATGAGTACCCCTCGTGGCAGGGAGGGTTGGATACTTTTTGGGGTTTGCAGTAGTTTCTCCTGAAAGAATGAGAAAAAGGAGCTTAGAATTGAGATGGCTCTGTTCGTTTTGTCATTTCTCTTCCCAACAACCCACCTTACTCAGAGTTTGGAAGTGGAAACGGGGTGATTCTGTGAGAGATCAGTGGAGAAAGTACTCTGAGTACCATAATGCCTTCGTGTGCCTTTCCTGGAGCATCCCGGGCTGCTCTGGCTGTCCTGTTCCTGCTCCCAGGGATCCTTTTGGATACGTTGAGGGAGAATATTTTTAAAAGGCAAAGTTCAAAGCCTTGCTGTCACACCGGGGTCACGCTCAAGGCTGTGGTTGGCGTTGTGTTGAGGGCTGTTATTTAGACAGGGGTAAAGAAGCGTGCCAGGAAAATCAAGAAGTAAATGCCTGACCTTCCATTTTCTTGCAAGGAAAATATTAAGTATATGGTGATGTTAATAGCTCCTTAGCAGCGATTTCTGTGAATCAATTTCCTAATTTTAAAGGTAACATTAATCCTCTTGCCGGGAACTGAGCTGGCACCATCCCCTTTTTTTTACCCTTTCACTCCTGGGCTTCTCCTGCTTCTGAGGAGGAGCCGAGGGGGTGGCTGCTGATGGACGTCCCACCAGTCACCATGGGGAGTGTGGGGACACGTGTCACACCCCAGCTCTCAGCTGTGGGCTTCCGAGTGGTCCTTGCTGGGGAGGTTTCTCCGCAGCTTTTCCTCTCTCCCCCATCTCGGTAGGAGTTTGTGCCATAGAAGGAGCAGAGGGAGTCTGAGGGAAGGAGGACAGGAGCCATCCTCGTGCCGGATCTGGCAAACTCCAAAAAAGTCGTGAATAAAAACTCCTCACATCCCAACACCCCTCTTGACACTTGCAAATAAAACATAAGCATTTCTGGCGAAACCGCTTGCTTAGTCTTTTGTTTTAATCTATATGCACGCATTATGGAAATAGGTTTGCAGGAT